ATTTGCCCGAGTGTTGCTCGCCAACTCTTCGCACGTATTAATTTTGTTTCTTTTTCTTATTCTTGTTTTATTAATTAGGTCAAGTATTTCATCTGCACGTCCATCTTCCGCCTTCTATTATAATATAACATTGCTCGAAAGTAACTCCTATGATGCAATAATTTCCATTTAACTTGGAACTCTGTATTGATATCACATCCACACCACATGGTTTGAGAAGATCAGTCATATAATATTTGCGCATTAAGGTTGGTAATTTAAGGATATAAATGGTATTGAATATAATGATGGGTGTCAGGAATCAGGATGGAGCGTCTGAAGGGTCATGTTATGGAATGCAACAATTAATGAATAGGGCTACACATCCCTACCTCTAGGGTTTTCCTGGCCTATCTGGTTCCTGTTTTTTTTTTTTTGGACAAAGTCTTGTTCCTGCTTCATAAATGCAATAAACAACAACAACAACAACAAAGCCACAACTTCAACTCTGCCCCACTGTCATTTATCCATCACCACGTAGTTAAATCCAATTAAACCGGAGGATGAAAACACTATTAAGTACCAACAAGCCAGTGCACTTGGTTTAACTAGTAAATAAATTACATCTTTTCAGTTCATGTCCTTGGCAATGTTAATTTGGTAGTAAATCTTACGTCCAAAAGGATCGAAGCTCTGATTTGATATAGATTAGTGAGAACTGTTTTAGTTTTAAGACAGATGATTTACTAAAAGAAGAAAACGTTGTGAATGGAAGGAAGAGGGCATAGGATTCTTGGAGTGTCACAGTAAGAGTGATCCATTAGCACAGAAGTGGTTTGGTGTTGCCGTCTTGTACTTGTACTCTTGTCGTATGCCTCCCTCATTAACTATTTACTCTGCTCTGCATTTCCATCATCCCCACGCAAATTAATTAAACTTTTATATATGACGCCATGGTTGAGATATGACTGTGGTGTTGGTGGTTTTTTAGGGTTAAAAGCAGAGGGAATATTGATGCATATTTGGAAGGAGGTGGGTGATGTAATACATAAATAGTAAAAAGAGTTCACAGAGTACAGTGGGAGAAGAAGGGTCAAGTACTGTCAGGCACTGCACAGTCGTGAATGATTGAAGCTTTCTTATTATATGCATTTGGCATTTCTCTTTCATTCTCTCCTCCTCCGTCTTTTGAATGCCACCTTCATGGATTTTTGACCCTGCCACGTCATCCCCGTTTGCCTTTTTATCCTGCTTGGGGGGGAGTACGATAGTAAACTTAGTTTTTTGAAATGAGTTAACGATAACTAGGTCCTGACAAAATTAAAAAAAAAAAAGTTTTAAATATTGATTTAGATATTTATAAACAAAAAAATCTCAATTGCAAACTGACACTTTCCTTCCATTGAGGGAGTGGGTAATTATGAAAGGAACATCAGCTTGATTATGTCTTGGTTATTTTATAATATTTCACTCTTTAAATTTGACCCTAATTCTATTGTTTTTTAAAAAATCTTATCTACAATTAAAATTTATGAATTTATAATTATTTGAGTCAATATTTGTAATTTATGTTAATAAAATTTTATCGATATCTTAAATTGTTATTAATTATCTCCCTTGAAATTTAACTGTCGTTATATTTTACTACATGGCAAGTCACATTCTACCTTAAACAAGAAAATATTTTATCATTTCTTGTTTTAATTATTTATCAGCATACTTTCTAACTAATGGAGCTAGCGCTTGGTGTTACTGTTTTCAAAAATTAATTATAGTTGTAGCATTTCTTTCCTCCACTGAGGTCAGAATCAAAGAAAATGCGAAAGTGGCACATGTCCGTGGATTTGTTTATTTTGAATTAAGGCAAACAAATCTTTGAACGTATTCTTTATTAAATGATCAAGCAAGGATTTAAATTTAAGATCCATTCTCAAACCATTTTTACTTTGTACTGTTAATCAAACAATCACTCATTGACTTGTATATATGAACGTCTATGCTCTAATGATTAAGCACTTCAATTTTGCGCACATTCAAAAAAAAAAAGTGGGTTTTCATAATCTGTGCTGAATTGTATTGAATAATTACATATTTGCCCTGGCTCTTAATCAATTCGGTGTCACATGTAATTCTTTTGGATTTTTACTGTTCAAATCAAGCCTTAATAATGATTGTTTCTTCTTGGGGACAAATTTCATGTCTGCAGAATTCATCGATTCAATTTTTTCTCGCTTGTCGTGGTTGTAGTGGTGTCTGAATCACAATCCATGTCACAACACAACACCATTATAAATGATGTGATGTGGGATCGACATTCAACACTTTAATCCAAAAGAAGCTATTATCATTACCATAATTATTCGTTTTTCTATCAACTTTTTAATAGATTAGGCATCCATAATCTTTCTTTGAAGATTCGAAAGGTGTTATTAATTATTAATATCACAACCTCGTGCCTGTCCACGCGTGTGGTTTACAATTTGTATGGTTTACATTTCTCACTCGCTACGAATACATGGTTAACGTGACGTTATTTAAGTTAAATAATTTGTCATAAAATTCAAAATTATATAAGACTGTAAGGCTTCTAATTTTATGTCAAGTTTTTTTTTGGTTTCTTAATTTTTTTAAATTACTCATAAGTATCTTTTCATAAGAGTCAATCATATTTGAGGTATATATAATCAGTTTTCTTAATTTTATTCTCTGTTCTAATCATTGTTGTTCTAAAAGCATTAGTTAAAATTAACACGTTAATATTTTAGAATTGTTTTTAAAAATTTTTGTTGACGAAACTAACGGTTTTAAGATTACATAACTGACAAAGACAATTTATAAACTTAATGGATCAAAAATAAAATTTAATGTAAAGTTAAATGATTAAAGTTACACTTTAGCCAAAATGCAATACCATTTTTATCCTGAAAAATATATCTTTAAAAGAAAAGTGAGATAAATTCAATTTGATTTATGAGACATATGTATAATTTTTTTAAATGAAATAATAGAAAAATTCCAAATAAGCTAGAAAGAGTAATTAAAAAGGGGAGAATGAGTCAGCTCCAGGTCAGTGATGGAAAGTTTTGAAGCGAAGAGGGGTCAAGTAACGTTGATGGGCCCGGTGGGGTCCAATGCACGGTGATTTGTTGAAAAGCAATGTGGCAACAGTACGGTGGCCCAGCATGATTGACTTTCGATGGGCCAATTATGGGCCCATCATGGGAGACCCATGCCTTGCAATCAGTATTCTCTGGGAAGTAGTCTCAATTCCTCTACAACCATTCATCCATCGAATTGAATGATCCCAAAATTAGTTAAAGGTCGTGAGCTGCTTTTAAGTTTTAATATTTAAAAATAAAATAAAATAAAAAAATTCAGTTGAGGAGGTCTTCACCAACCTGTGATGGGTCCAATCACTTTGACTTCATCGTTTCTGAGTTATAATAACACAATGTTCAATCATTAATATCTCCGCTTCTTCTTCTTCTGTCTCCGTGTATTGCATTTTTTTTTAGTTATTGCTCTTTCAGAAATGAATGGGGCAACATATGCACACAAAGAAAATGAAAAATAATGCTGAAAAATTGTTTTTGCTTGATTAAATATCAACATTGCTGGATGGTCTTGCAAAGTTTACTGATAGAATAAATATTCATCGACATCAACAACAAATTAATAAGAGTTTTATCATAGTTTTACCCACTGGTTCAGTTCGGATGTTGAGATTAGAGAAATGAAAACAGACAGTTTTCTTCCTGTTTCTTTCTTTTTCATTTTTTTATGTAATATCCCCTTATATAGGATGCCTTCTAAAAATAAAAAATGGCTCAAATTATAAGATATCTCTAGTCAGGATATTAAATAATGTTCTATTTTTACCCCTATAACTTGAGCAGGACATGATGAGGTTGCACAAAGTATAAAGATGAATTAATAAGGGTAGGATTGAAATATTAAAATATTTTTGAATAAATAAAAACAATATAACAATTTTTTTAATTGATGCGGAAAATGTTTGAAATTCCCCTTCCAAGGGACAGGAGGTAGTATAAAAAAAGCTTGGGGAAACTTCACATTGTCCAGAAGTTAATAACATTTTGGCCTAACTCAACCATACTGGACTTTTTAGTGGTGATGATGAAAGCATGATCAAGGATTAACATCATAAATTCTGTATTAAAGTACAGCAAAAGCGAGTTTGGATTGAGCCTATTTCGTACTCGTGAGTGACCAATGAGTAACATCATAAATCCTGCATTAAAAAATAATACACTTAACATTTGTTTTTATTCTTTCAGACCCCACCCGTTAAAACAAAAAAACAAAACCAAGAAGGGAAAAAGCGAGTCTTGATTGGGCCTATCGCTTATTCATGAATCATAGTGGAAGCATGACCAGGAATTCCCCTAATCTGACAGAATTAATAATCCAACTTGCATGTCTTTGTTTATTACTGCTTATTCCTTCATGGGCAGTCTTCAAATATCCTATTCCTGCCACCATTTTCCGCTAGAATAAAAGAAGTTCAAACAAGTTGTAAGAAGTTCAAATTTTGGTTTCTGAGAAATGTTTAGTGGCTTGCAAAACGCATTGCTAGAGTGTAATGTGAGGCCATGAAGGGAATAGAGGAAACACTGTGAAAACCCAATTGCCAGGCACTTTTTTGTTTCTTGGGCCCATTGTTTCCTGGTCCATATTTCATCAGGTTTCGCTTTCCATGACAAGCCCAATCAATTTAATACCAAATCTGGAAGGAACCTCGTGTGTGGTGAGTGATACGTGGGAGATCATTCCAAAATTCTGGGCTAAATATGAATGGAGAAAGGAAATCATATCGGTCAACCAAAAAGTCGAAGGCATAGAGAGCAAATGTTTCGGTTATCGGCAACCGATGAGAAAAATGTTCATATCTGGACACTTGCATTAACCTTTCATTAAAAAAAAAAAAAGGATAATATCAGAATGAAGTTGAACGCATCGCCTCTTCTTGTTCAGGTCATCATTGTGTATGACACAATAGATTTACCAGAAGCATGAATTTTCTATTCTTTTTTAGCGAACAGCTGCGCTAAAGTGGTAAAGTACAAGAATATGGACTAAATTTTTCTCATAAAAGACCAGACTTGAGACTACCATACAAGTATCCACAAAACATGAATTTACACCCAAAGGCAAATGGTCCATTCTTCTGAAGAATGTCAAAACTTGGTGGGAATCATATGAAGTCTCAGAAGTTAAAATTTAGCTGGATGATGCAAGTCTATCCCTTTTCGTATGTTCTACACAAAACCTTCCTCAAATCAACCCTTTCATCTCCCCCTTAACCCCCATCAAAAAATTAAGAAAAAAATACGAGGAAAATCAAGAAAAAGGAAAAAATAGGATAGCACGTTTTCATGCAGGAAGAAGGTGAATCGAAATGAAAATTATCATTTGATAGAAAATGATGACAGCGGTTGCATCTCATCTCAAAGCAGTGTCATACAGGAGCATGCAATTCCTTCAGTAGCTTCTGAACTTTGCTATGTAAATATGCGCGCAAATACTACTCATCAGATTCCAGTGTAGGGCTTTTTGAGCAGCTCTCTTTTTGATGGAGTTCGAGCATTTTCTTTTCAGGGTTACAGAGGCCTAAAAAAAAAAAAAACAAAACAAAACAGCATTGAAATCATAAGCAGTCATTTTGCTTTGGTTTACACAACAGGTGTATCTCAACATAGAGTTGTGCAAAACAATAATGGCGTCAATAAATGTAAGTTTACTAATACATATGATATCATAAGACTATTCTTTTGATAGATGATAAGTTAAAATTAGTTTTTCCCGATACGCAGGCCAAATGTACACAAGAATAAAGGCAACAATAGTCCCCTCAAGTGTTTTGCCATTGAGATCCATAAATTACAGGTGTTTTTAACCATATCCAGTGCAACTCTATAGTACAACCTCCGACATCCTGATTCTATAAATACTTTTGCAATCAGCAAAACACAAACCTGAACACTTTGGAATATCCCATACAGCAATGGATGTGGATGTGCAGTCTGTCGAACACAATCCATGATTATTCTCGTGGTTGACATTCATTGCAAGCATCCAAGCTCCAATAGTGACATCCTCATTACTGAACATCCGGAAACTGTGATTTAGCAAAGAAAAATGCAAATATTAGTTACAGTCACAGGAATTAGGAAGGTGTGAGCAATGCACAACGTCCATATTATCTGCGCAAATATACAGGACAGGAAAGAACAGAAATGGAGAAGGAGATAACCTCAATCTTGATCACATTTAATAGTAATTTGATTAGATAAAGTTACAAAAACATCCCATGATCAAAGACTCGTAAATATGTCTAAATGCATCATGTGTCACTTCATAACATGATTATTAGATAGCAAAATATACCCCAAGCAGCTCAGTTGTGGAAAAAGATACTTGCCTATTATTCCTAAGAGCCACCAAGCTTGCAACAACATCAGCGGAAAGCGCATATATAGGACCATAAGCATGGAGAAAGTACTCTTTTCCAAGCAAATGGGACAATGGTTCATACCTGAAGATTTTAACGGTCCAGTTACTGGAAAAACCAAATAAGAGGAGAGGAGTACGCAAAGGTCTCAAATTGTTTAAGTTCAATTCATTTGTGAATTGGGTTCAACTTTCTTTCTCAGGATATAAATGAGGCTGTCATTAAATAATTGATATTTTACAACTTTTCACACAAAATATCAGAGCAGTTTAGAACAAAAGTAATAGTGGATTGTCACCTAGGTAGCATCCAGACCAACCCAAATTGACAAAAAACTGAACTAAAAGAATTTGTAGATTTTAAACTGAAGGTATACTCAATCTTCAAGGGATGAAAAGGATAAGAAAGATCTCCAATTACTAGCATGAAAAACTATATTATCCACACAGTTTGTTCAGTTCTTATTGCAAGGTTAACATCTTCATAACTGCTATAACTGTTAGAACATTATTTATAATAAATAATGCATCTGGGGGTGAATCTATTACCAGAAGATTGATATCTCAAGGTTGTGATGCTTCATTCATAAAACATATAGGTAGTATAGTTATTTCTTTCTCCAGGAATCAGCAATATCAGACCAAGATGGCCCATTTTATATTCTATTGAAATTGCATAATTGAAGTAATTTCCTTAGAGACACAAACAAATACTAGATGTTGAGTTAGAAACATTGTGCACAGAAAAGATAAAATCAAGATAACAGCTGAAATAGAGATCTAAATAGAACAAACCATTTAAGTTTTGGGTCGGTGAAAACAGGGCCCTTTTTCATGCATCCTATGTAAGTCAGAGAGTGAGATCGCTCCTTTGCCAGCAGTAATGAAAGCCGATCTGACAATAAATTCAAAATCACATAAATCATATTGAGGTGGTAAAGGAGGGAAGATCTTAACAAATGAAGGTCCTATATGCATATAATCAATATAATACTAATCAAGTACCTGGCCTTAAATATATATCGTCATCAGCTTTGACATAAAATTCAGCTTCAAAAAGTGCATAGGCAGCTTTAAAGAAAGCTAAACTGAATAAATGAAAGAATCCGGTAAGCAACTTAGCAAACGTACTATTACCAAAGGCGTAACAGACAGCGTTCTGTAATTCTTAGTACTGACGTTTTATATGGTAGCTTACTGTACTCCTCTTCAATGTCCAATTGAATGAAATCATCATATTCTGCTATTTCCTTCCGAAGTGTTGCCATCTTTGATTTATCATTTGTTCTACCAATGATAAACCTAAAAGCTAATCCAGTGGCTTCTTCCAAGCTGCAGATCACAACCATTTAATAGAACTGAGCACTAAGAGTAAACAATTTGAATAAAATTAGGTCACTTGCTTTTATCGCCCAATGCTGCCGGCAAATTTTCAAGCCAAAACTTGCATGAACAATGCTGAGGATAAATTCTATAATTAACATCTTTTAAAATACTATACGCAAAACTAATTATGGATACTCAATGCTGTATAGAATGTAAAGTACGCCATGTAAGCAGAGAGAAGATGCTTGCAATACTTGAATTTTCAAGTGATAGACAGCCAATAACATTTATACAAACCAGATCAAACCCAAATCCAACAATAATAAAAAATGGTGGCGTGGAAGTAGGCAGAATAGCAGTACTTCAATAAGAGTTGCATATTACTCAATTTTTCTCAATAACCCACGGTTACACGACATGTTTTAGTCGCTAGAAATCATGATTCATGAAAACAGCGAACAATGCATAGAACATCAGTACCGTTCAAGACCCTGGCGATCCGATGGCAACCAAGTCCTCCTAAGCGACTGCCGCCTACCAACGGATCCGAATCCGGTCTGAATCCCCACGAAGCCCATGACTTTATGCCTATCCTTTCCAATCCCACCACGGATCCCATCGTTGGAACCACCACTGCTGCCAAGTTGCTCCCAAACCACTCTAACGGATCTAGGCCGGGTATTCAGACATCGATACCCGTGAATCGGCCACAGAAAGGATGTGATTCCATAGAGAAAGCCAGAAACACCTACTAGAAGGCAGAAGATGATCAGGAACGCCGGTCTACGAGATGACAGCGGAGGTGGGCGGCCGTAGAAGGACTTGGGGGACGAAGGCATAGCTCATAGAAACCCCAGAAGCAGACGAAGCCTTAGTCTAGGGTCTATTGGGGAGTGAGGAACTATAAACTGTAGAATCAGAAAGGAGCTTTCGTTCATGGCATTAAGGAAGATGCTCGCCCCGCCTCGCCTTGCCGTGTCCTCCACTGCAGTGACTACGAAGCAAGCTATTAGGCGTTGAGGAAAGAAACAGATGAACTGTATTTCCCAGGTAGCATCCGGCGATCCGTTATTATCAGTTACTCAGTCATTTTTTGGTCAAAGCACTGGGTTCTGATCTTTGATCCAGCCTTTGTGAACCCAATGGGCTAAATCCCACTGAGGTCGATTCATCATTTATTAGTTAAGCCCAAAATCTTTTGGCTAGTGGGCCATAATTGGATGTGGTGCTTTTTTTTTTTGGGGGGGACCAACAAGTGGAAGTAGTTCAAATGTTCAACTTTTTCCGTATCGCTTTATGCACTAACTCTCTGTTTTGTATGGTTTGTTATCGCTTTTATATTTACATATTTATTTGTTATAAATATTTTTATTCATATGACAATCTAATTGAATCAGATTTGAACATTGTTGAGCAAGAATCTCTCATATATTTTCTGCACTCACACAAACTTAAACTTAAAAATCTTGTATTTAAGTAATCAAGGTGCCTCTTATTAAGGCCAACACCTGTTGAATTATTTCTTTTAAATGTTAGTCTTTTGCGAGAGTCTGCAAGGTTACAAAGAACTTTGTAAGATTTCATCTTTCAATTTAGTCTTGAAGCCAAGTAAACACAAATATCGAGATGAAACGAGAAGAAAAGAATGGAGAGGATCCAGATTCACCTCATGTCAAGACTCCGATGCAGTTTTCTATTTTTTAACCGCATGCTAGACTTAATTATGCTGAATGCGTAATGGGGTCACAGTCTTTAAACTTGTGTTTTCCTTTGCAGTCAAATTTTCCCAAGGTGCACCACGGAGTGCTGACCCATAAGTACCATCAGAATAACATACCATATCTCTGAACAACTAATTCCTTTCTGATTTTCATTCATTCATTATCTCACATGCTTCCTGCGAACTCTGTTGCAAAGAAAGTTGTGTTTCATCATACATCCCCGAGGATTCAATTATGGAATCCACGTCAAAATTGTTGCCTAATACTGGCTTGCAGGACTTCTGCAAAAAGGGGCCCCGCAAGCCATTCTCGTGACCTTCACCAGCCTTGATATTCCTTTTCTCAATTTCAGTACCATCTCTGTTAGTGCAACAGTTCTCACTAGAGTGCTGTACGGACTCATTTGTGGCTTCCAGTTTGGCGCTGTTTCTCAATTCGTGCATATTTTTCACTTTGATATATTTCTGCAAGTCATCACACTGCTTTACAAGGCCCATGATCTTCTCTCCGCTTAAATAGGTATTCCGATCTGCCGTTTCTTTCAATCCTAATGATGACTCAGCTCTGTAATCTGCGAAGTTCTTGCTGCAAACATGTTCTGTTTCTGACTTAGCACTAAGTTCATCAGTATAATTGTTTTGGACATGCTGCTGCAGTGATTCAATTCTGTAATCTGGGTCATTCTCGCTGCAAACATGTTCAGCGTCAGACTTAGCACCAATTTCATCTGCAGAGGTGTCTCCAACATCTTGCTGCAATGATTCGGCCATCTCCATTCCTTTACAATACACACCTACTTTGGCCGGGTCATCTGTTACCAAGGTTGATGGATCACAGTCACAAAATAGATTAGATCCTCTATAAATATAGACGATATAGCACAACATTAGCTTGCTGTCCATATGAAACAAAATGAAAATACCTTCTGTTTTATCTTCCTTGAACAAGGGTTTTTCAAGTAACACAGTCCCAGGAAAAACCATCAAGTTTATTTTGTTCAGTTTCTGCTTTTCATCAGCACCTACAAGTCTGAATCCAAAACCCTTGGTCCAAGTCTCCACTAAATCTGGAATGGCTGCTATCACAAGCTTTGCTACCTTGACAGATATTAACATCTGCAGATAAAAGTATATGTACATGTATAAAGTGCTTAAATAAGACAAAAGAACGAATTGTGGAACCATTTCAAACTGCTGAGCGCAGATTCTCTAAAAAAAAAATCATCCAGTCTGTTGCTAAATTTGAAAAAGGTTTGTTTTTTTAAATGGATGAAGAAATCATTTAAGATGATTTGAACACGTAAAAAGAAGATCACAAGAGGCATTGGTAAGGATAATTATGAACCCTATTAAGAGAGGTAAAGAAAAATTAACGAGTACATTTATAGAAATTGTTCACCGAGACCTCTTAATTAACAACATTCCTAAAAATTTGGTAAATGATAAAATATAATGGCATCGTGCAATCCATATAGCCGATGCCACTTAATGGAAAAAGAAGTTTTGTTGTTGTTGAAAAAACAAAATTTGGCAAAAAGTTAAGAAACTGAGGAACAACTATAAGCATCCCTATGGCCAATATTGGTTCAAGATAACACAAAACTACAGCAGAATGATGTCATACCTCTTCAATTGAACTCACAAGGAGTCGGCACATTCCCTGCCGACGATACCTACTGCAAGTTGCAATAAGTGGCATCTCTGCAACTGTAGTTCCATGCACCCTGCAAAAGAGTAAAAGGTCCAAGAGAATGCAGTAAATACAGGGATGCCACATATACGATTACTCATGAAATGGCCCATCTCGTATGTCAACAAGAAGCAGAAGCACATTATAACGGGCTTTACATTTCATTAAAATAACTAAACAGATCCATTTCACACAGGTTCCAGTGATTGCTTAAGGGAAGATAGATATGATCAGTTCAGTTTTAATATAAATTCCATGAGAACATTTACTTTACCTGATAGATGCAACAGAAATTAAGATATCTTGCTTCTCCAATACCACAGTATAAAACCCTTGAAAATTCAGTCGAGCAAAATCAGACCTACATATCATATAGAAATAAAAGCTGTTAAACCTTAAAGAAGACACAGAACTAGTAAGAAAATTGCAAAGCGGAAAACATAACAACGTAAACAATAAATCAAGGGGGAAGAGTTATCAAAATGAAGAGGTACTCACCCCCAATTGTATAAAACATGGGGTATCATGTCTATGCCTGTTCTAGGATCCACCATTGACAAAAAGCACTCCTCCATGATGGTAAGGGCAACAGCTAATTTTGTATTGCATAGCGCCTTGAGGGCAAACCACTGGGCAGAATGAACCTTTTGGTCATCCCGGATGCATTTAAGAAGCATCCATGAGAGGCCATCATCAATATGATTAACAAGTCCAACCCGAGATTGAAGACCAGAGTATACCTGCACAGGCTACATTGTTAAATCTTGGGGCAAAAAACAAAAAAATCAAAGCAATAACACTAAATATAAGATATTCATGCTGTTTAAAATATTTAGTGATTAGTGATGACAGAGAAAACAAACGAACAATAAGCACAGTACAACCAATAATGTCATTAGCCATATTATCTACATCAAGAAACCAGAAAATATTAACATGTCAATTTGTTGATCTGTTCATGCTGGAGAATGCAATGGGTGAAAACAGAGACCATTTTAAAAGTTAAGCCTAAACAACCACAAAAGCAACTACATCAAAAGTTGAAGACTCTTTCATTGATAACATCAACCGAAGACAATGACTTAACTGTTCGATTAATATTCACATAAAATATTGTAAAACAAAAGCAAATCATTTAAAAGTTATAAGATGATTCAAAATTTTGCCCTTTCATGTCAATAAAAGGGTTTTCACTTCCCTTGAGTGAAGAGCAGGTTGGAAAAAAGATCAATATATCAGATTTATTCATTCCAGGAAAGACATGTTAAAAGTACAGAAAAATATGACATTGTTAAAATAGTCCAAGTATTTTTTACTTTTAACAAACATTGTGGCATAAGAACATTAGTCATAGAAATAATGGAAACTTCAACACAGAATCAAGAATACTGACATATAAAGCACATACAATTCAAAAGAAGAGACTTACAAATGTCTCCCACATATCAGACACTCATAAACCTCAACTTAGACATGCAAGCATTTCAAATTTGTCTTGTTGCCATGTCAATTTCTTTGTCATTTCCTACATCTATTTCAGCATGGTTGCCTCCTAGAACATGACTCACAATAACAGGTACTATCTGAATATTTTAACAGAAGAGTTTGTAAATAAAAACAATGTTACTTTGTTAATTACCATCCATTATCCATGCTTTGTTGAACTTTTACCAAATCATATTCATGTTAATTTTTTGCAAATGAACAAGAGAACACATTCAATGCATTAAAAACAACCTCCAAAGCAAAAAAAAAAAAAAGAAATGAAATGAAATGGCAAACACATTATCAAAACTATATTATTATAAGCTAGGATAAAATAACAAACCTTCATTTTCTAAATTTAACAAATCCACTATCCAACTGATGAAAGAAGTAAAGAAATTTGAGAATTGCAATTACAGTACCTCTTGACAGAGTCCACCACAAAACCAACTGCCAGAAACTTCCCCTTCTGGTTTACCGCCTCCAGTCAGACACTTTCCATGATCTATTTATTAAAAATTATAATTATTAGATAAAGTCATCGTGAAAGAATCACAAAGAAGAAAGCACAGAAGAAGAAAAAATCAGCTGAGAATCTTTACAGACAACTATGGTTCAAGCTGAGACAGGCAAGGTGATAACCTAAAAATTGACTGTGTTCAAAATGTCAACTCATTGGAAAGCTGCAATTATTAAGACAAGATCCAACACAATATGAATTTAACAGGAACATCTCAGCATGACCAATTTTAATCAAACTACAGATACTACTAATGAGAATTCAACAACAAGGCCAAAAAGGGATTCAGAATATATAGGTTGTCACATAGTTATCAAATCCTAACATACATACACAAATCTTGAATAATAGAAAGTACCGATTTATGATTCAATCACAAAAAAGCTTGAAACATAAAACATGACATCCTTGTCCTTATAATATGTATAAAATACTCAAGATGGTAAATCTAACCCAAGAGTTAAAAGAAGTACTTAGACACAGGTCATAGATAAGCTCATCAGTCATAAATTTGTAAGAAATTAATTCTTGAGATAGTCTCAAGCAATATCCTTCTCTCCTTCCGTTATAGAAGGCATAAACAACAATATGACATCAATTCATAGTTTTCACACGTCTGAATCGTAAACTCATGTGATGATGTCACATTGGCTGGCACTGCATATTTCATGACTACTTCTGATTCAGCAATCAATTCATATTTTTGGTTGTTACTCAATTACAATTCACGGATTTCATCTCATGCATTGTACAATTTTAATAACTATGGTTGTCATACTCACATTTTTGCTCACACTGTAAACACTGCAATGCATCACAAGCACCAGAAGCCTCTTTATCATTGACAAAATTCTCACAAATCCCACAAGTGCAGTTTGTGCAGTACCAGTTGCCTTCAGGGATATCCTGAGGTATAAAACATGCTTTTATATCATTGTTTAATAAGAAAACTACCATAATCATGATGTTCACAAAATTCCAAAAGAAAGGAAGGGATCAGGTTTTCAAACACAAATTGGTCAAAAGAATACATGATAATCAAATTAAAGATGCTAGAGAAGTTCGCATTTAATAACATGAAGGAATTCACTCATCAAAACAACAAATATATGTGTAATAATAATAATAAACTAAATGATACCCCTTACTTAAGAACAACGAAACTAAACATGTCAGTTTGTTATCATATCACAAGTTAAATATAATCCAGGGTACAGAGTACCCCTATAAGCCATCATGTTCACAAACTCTTTACACTTTCCCAGTACGTGGCTAGATATAAAAGCATGTTAACTAGTGACCAGACCAGTTAAATGACAAAAGGATTTAACACAATATTGGGTGGGGGGGTGGGGGGGGGGGAGGGTAGAGTGGCATACGTAATGGTGCGCATGAATACACACCCTTGAGTACATCAATGAGATAAAACATACAGAGAATTTTGAGTGAGAGAGAGAGAATGGGGGGAGTATCAGGAAAGGCAGAAGGAAACAGGGAAATAATTACTCAGTAGAACGCCCACATTACTGAAAAAACGAGAAGTTTATTTCCAATGGAAGTAAAAATATAAGTGAAAGTCAGAAGAATAGAGGAAAGAAAAAACCTGAGATCAGACAGACCTGAGTGGACAAACAAGCAAGATGAAAAGCTGATGGACAGTTATCACAGCATATCAACTCACCGCCATCACCACACAATCCACATGAGTCATCATTTTTATCACCATCGTCATCATCAACTTTTACAGTTTGATTCCCACTTTTCCTGGCCTTGTATTCAGCAGACCAAGCTTGAAGCAGGCACAATGTAAAGGGCTCATCAGACTCCATGAAAAGGTTCAAGCAGGTGCGATCCAATCTATACCCAGCATGAAACTTGAACTCAGATAATGTAAGCAACTTATTGCAACACGTACATATAATACCATCCCTGGTAATCCTACCATCCTTAATGACAGCATTATCTTTAAGGCTTCGGTATTGAATCACATCATTTAAAGATATGATCCCATTTTCAATCAACCATGACAGCACTGTTCTTGCCCCAAGATAACACCTCTTGCCTTCCTTAAGGCGCTTCCCCCCATTGCCAAGGTTCCTTGGTAGCAACCTGCAGTGACCCTTTTGCCTCCTCAGCTTTCTCTGAGCTTTTGATTTGCAGGATTTAGATTTAGATTGATCTCGAGCTGTCTTTGAGATGAAACCAGTTTTCTTAAAAATAGCTGAAACCAACAGGTCATCATCTGCAATCTGGCATCCACTAGACTTTGGTTTTTCAGTTATAGGGTCATAGTTATGACAGCTCTTTCTAAACTTTGCATTTGTACTCCCAATATGTTGTTGCTGGAACAAACTGATTGATGATACTTTACCACAGGCTCCTCCATCCTCTGCATCATCAGCTACATGATCACCCTCTTCAAATCCTAAGTGAGTACCACATACCCCACCACTTGGTAATAGGGCGTCGTCTGTAACTGTAAAACCCATCATGTCACTTTCATATAGCATATTAAGTTTAATTTCAGATACCCTTTTACACTTCCTCTGTATCTTCTTTTTCAGAATAACATCATGGGTAGAACATGTGTTGTCTGTCTCAAGCACCGAAGCTCTTGAGCTTTGTCCACACCCTTCCTCAACATATTCAGACTGTTGAACACCCTCTGAGGCATGACAATGAACCAGGCCATCTCTTGCTCCTTGTGGATATCTATTCAGGGATTCCCGCAGATGACTTCCATAACAATCCTGAACTTCGCCATCTGATTGATCCTTTTCCTCTGCCTTGTCCATTGGCACATCCCCAGCTACTCTCTTATCTGTTTCCAGCAAATTTTCCAAGTACTTTTCATCAGAGCTTTCAAAATTTCTAACATTACTTTCCAGACAAGTGTTTATTTTAAGCCCCCTAAATGCCTGATTTGAATTTCCAGAAGTTGTAGTAACATTGGAAGTACAAGCACTGGACTGTGTACCAGTAAAACCCATCTCATCATCAGTTAACAAGCCTTTTCCAAGTCTGCTCCTTTCATATACAGACACTTTCCTACATTGATTCACCGTGCTGTCAGTGTTGTGCTCTAAGTACATCTCTTCCTTGTCACCAATACCATTACATTCAAATACTGGAAGTTTTATCATCCCATTAATTGTCTGTTCATATCCTAAGTTATTTCCATCCCCAGTTTTCTGATTACGGGCACGGTAATTGAGCGAAGATGTTGTTAGTTTGCTCTGAGTGGCAGTAGCAGAATCAAAAAGAAAAGCTGACCCATGTTTCAGATCAAATGGAATTGCAGGAGAATCCTCCCAAGCTGAACTTTTGGGTGTACATGCCATCCTATAATTTCTAGAAACTATACTTCGAGTCACCTTCACTAGCTCCCCCTTTTTCAGTGCACCAATCTTTCTTTTAACAAAAATTACAACTACAAACGGATCCAGGAGACACCATTGATAAGCTAACATAGCAGCAGACTCTGACTGGTTTATTTCCTTTTCAACATTGATCAGTGCATGGGATAGATCAGACCAGAATTGGCCAAAATCAGCCCATTCTTTACAACTATCCTGCATTGAACTGTATTTGTCGACTGACAAAAACTGACCACATAACCTCCAAGCTTTTATAAACTCACGGACTGGCCTTCCTTCTGGCGTCCAATAAATAGACTCAAAGTAGCGTCTACAAGGTCTCTTACGCTTCTCCATAGACCATCCAGCCATCATAAGCAACTGCACGCTACGGTGATGCAATAAATCACGGGGGTCCTTCTTAAGGTCTGGTGTCAATGATAAATTTGACTTATCCAAATCATAGGATAAAAATCCTTTGGGTATCTCCTCAAATTGGAAATGAGATCCAGATTTCTCCATAGCAGTGATAAATGGACTTGTTACTACAAGCTTATTTGCAAAGCTCTCTTGGGAAACAGGAGAAGCAGCCGCTTTACTTGTAGACACTTCTTTGGCCAAATTTCCATCCACAGTGGTTTTTGTACAATTTGAAACATCTACATCATCCTTACCTCTTTTTTTGTTCAGCATCATGCTATGCTTCAACAGATAGCAACTGGATATCACACCATGCTTTGACGATTCAACTAAACGAAGTGAAAGTGGTTTACTATCAAAGTCTATAGCAGCACCAGCCATGTCAGTGACATATTCTTTTGAAAGTTTTGGTGAACTCAAAACCTTTTTGAAATTGGATCTATAGGGAAGTTCATGCAGGGAAAATTTCATGCGTTTGACATTTACATCCTCATGATTTGGGCCTTCATAATTGAATCTATCAGGCATACAACCAAGAGCAGTCCCTTTCAAAGTCTGAATCACGTCACAATCATCCTCAGAATGTGTAACTTTTGAAGAAGAGGGGCTTCTTGTGACTGAGTTTTCATTGCTAGAGCAGAGTGAAATATTTGTGTTTTTACTAGATTCACATTCAAAGTTGATGACTCCAGTAACAAGACACCTCTGACTAGGCTGAACACTATCTTTACTGAAAAATATCTCAGTAAAAATCTGCCTTTCATCATTAGAACCTTCAAAGTTGTCATCACATAAATCCTCTATTTCTTTGTTACGTAACATCTCTTACAGTTAATACTGTTCTATTTATTTACAACCTTCGTTGACCAGTTCTACATGTTGCTGCCGTCATCAAAACCCAGCCCTGGCATTTTATAAACCAAGCAAAAAAAAGAAGAAGAAGAAGAAGAAGAAAAAAATCTCATCACTTACAGTATGAGAATATAAAGCAAAAATGACCGGAGCAAGGGTTCAAATAAAAAGCAAGGAAAAACTATATTTAAACACACATAAGAAGCCCAGAGAGAGAGACGTTTAAAAATCTAAACATGAAATTGGAAAAAACGCACCTAAATATAACAATCACCAGTTCTGCAATAGTGATTCAAAGTTTGTCTGGTAGCAATAAAAAATATTATTCTGGATGCATCAACATGTAATTCCAAAAAGACCAAGCACAGCAAAAAGATGACACTGTTTCTATATGATTTAATTCTATCAAGCATAAGCTGTCAGTATATTGTTTTCCCACGACCTATCCCATTAACTGATACTATTGCTAGTAAGCTCAGCCCAAAAAAAGTCCCTTGGATTTCGACAATCTTAGAATAATGCATTTAACTCAGTGCAAAAGGAATTATTTTCAACTGGCAAATAATGCCGTGAAAATCAAAAGGATTTTTCACGTTTTCCTTTTCCTTGTGAAAGGCGATTTCGCAGAGACCTGGAAGAGGAAAGGAGGATGGTCCGTATTGCACGACAGGAATTACTTAGTAGAAGTGCATTATGTTAAAATGAACCAAAATTTTTGGAAATAGTCAACAGTGCAATATTTCCATGTAAGCCTGACAGAATACAATATGCGCGTCTTTTTTTTCCCACACAAACCTTCATGCATTGATGGTATCTTCCGTTTCATTTTTCCCGTCCCGGGAATAATCGCAAAAGTTTTCTAATCGCTGGTCCAAAGCCAATTATGGACATAATAAAGGAAATAAAATGCATTAACATCCTGGACGCGAATAAAAGGGAGTTAAAAAACTTCTAATAGACAATAACCTGCTTCAGAATTACACTGTATCAAAGTCACTAAAAAAAGGCTTATGGAAGATAAGATCAGCAGAAGTTCGCATGTTTCTTTCAGTAAGCACAACAACTCTTCCATAACATTTTCAGAAACAGACATAATTTCATTTTCAAGCCATTTTTATGCCAAAGCAGCATGCGAGCAACTGAGTTAGAAAATGGAAGCAAAAAAGCGAACATGCAAGATCGGGCACTCATTGGTTGAAAAAGACGCTCCAACGAGACTGGCAAACGCAGAGAGACGAAGAAACCATGAATCCTGCGACAAAATTGAACCATCTCACTATCTCACCCGCATGCATTGATCCCAAAGGATCATAGAGTCAATTCACAAACAGGAAATCCACAAATGCCAGACAAACCAGAAAATAAAAGGGCACAAGAGGTCATCAGGTTCACATTTTAGTGACACTCATGACCTTTCCAGCTAAAATTTCAGATAAAGAGAGTCACATATCCACCCTCAGCGTCCACATGCATCAAACTTAGCATGCATTTCAAAAAACAAATACGGACCAGAAATTCCAGTGACCTTGGCAGCGCATTCTCCACAATGGCTGGACTTCAGAATTAGGGTTCCCTAGCAGCAGAAACGGGTCCAATGGCCGATGCAGATTGCCTTAACTTCATAAGCAAAAGCACGCCAAAACTCATCCGCAACGGCAGCGAACGAACTGTTGATTCCAGAGTGCAGCAGGCGGCAGAAAGCGTTCTCTCCCTCCCTCTCGCTCTAAAAGCTTCTTCTCTTTCTCTCTCTCAAAGCACTTTCCATGAGGCCATGAGTGAATGTCATGGACTGGTACTCTCCCATTTCCACTTAACCTTGTCCGTTGTCCCTTTGTGGCTGCTTTTATTTAAGTCTGTGTGTAACCCCTTCCATGGACATCGCAGACGGATCAGTTCAAAAGCGGAGCCTTTTCCTTTTAGAAGAAAAAATAAATAAACAAATAATGTTTCTGTTCAAAATATCAATAATTTAAAAAAAAATGTATACCAATAATGTTTTCGTTCTCATACAAATATATAAGTAATCTTTTATGAATTTTTTATTTTATTTTTAATCTTAATTATCAATATATTTATAATGAATGAGAGGTATATTTATATAAATATCTAAATTAATAAACATAAGGGGTAAAATGAAAAAAAAATTACACATAATAAGTTATTTATATTTTGAAACAAAATTACATCGTCTTCAAAAAAAATGTTTATATCTTGAATTTTGTATTTTAACTTTTAACAAACCGTAAGATTAAGATGTGATTTTCAAACAATATTTATGTGTGATTTTACTTTATACGATGCTGTCGCTATTCCATTATAGTATATTTCAGTTATAGAGGTATTTGGGTAGTTTATATTTCTTTTTTCGGATAAAAGGTATGGTAAATGCACTTGTTATATAAATGCGCACACCCTCCAAAATTTCTTCTTCGATTTATTGCCAATAATAATTTACACTAAGATTGTGAATTTAAATAGAAGGAGTATTTCTCAACATGAAAAATAACGGATTCTGAACTTTAACATATAACTTATCATTTAATTTTTTATTATATGATGATCAAGGTAGTGATGTGATTTTTTTAATTTAAGTTCATCTTTTATTTAAAAAAATGAATTTATAGATATAAATTAAATTAGAGGGAGTTAAATATAATTTTTTCAGTAAAAAGTAAGCGTTACATAATAAATTGCAAGAGAAATTCGTATAATATAATATAAGTTAATATTATATTGATTTAATTTCCAAAAAATATAAATTTATTATTTGGTTATTAAATTGTTTAACGAAATTCCGATATAACTCGTCCACCTTAGATCCGTAAAAAAATTCATATCCATCATGGTTGATATACAGCAAACTAATTTTTTAAGTTAATTATTGGGAGTGAGGGGAGGGATACTGGAATGATTGCACCCCGGTCTTGTCTTTTTTGTAATATTTAATGATTAATAAAATGATAGGGTTCCTTTTTTTGCTGGAGATGGGGATAGGATAACATTGTCTAATATAAACACCACCAATCACTAATAATGGAGTTTACTCGATGCCTCGTTGTCGCGGGCAACGCGATCGGCTTTGCAGGGCCTGTTTGGATTTTTATTTGAAATTAATTGTGGGATCAAAATTATAGTTATATAGAAACTTATTCAAACACTCTCTATTTTGTAAAACTTTATTTGACCTATAAAATTTCATTCTAAAAAAGCTATTTTTTTCCCTCCATTTAAAAATTAATTTTTAACATTCAAACATTTTCAATTTCCCCCATTTTTATAATTAATTTTGAAAAATTATCTGAACATTTTCAATTGTCAAAATCAATTTTAAAAAATATTATCTAAACATTATCATATTTTATTAATTAATTTTTACCAATTGAAATCCAAACACACCCAATATATATTTATAAGTAAGATTGTAAGTAACGTTGTGATGTCATGTAATTTTTATGCTCTGATTTTTTAATTTAAATTATTCATAATTTCAAATTTTTAAAAGTAAAGCTCCAAGCAGCATGATTCTTTTAAAACTGCAGGTAGCATGATGATGCTACATGACATTAGTATTGAAATTTTTTAATATAACTTATTCATAATTTAAAATTTTTAAATTTAAATTTATAAAACCATCCCACCTTCAATCCCAACTTTTCATTAAATACTGTCAAGGTTGTTAAATTCATAGATTTAAATAAATTCATAATAAGAATATAAACTTGAAATATAGACTTGAATTATAAACCCATAAGAATTTACCTTTAATAATAAATAACCTTTAAAGATATATAATTAAATAATTAAAATACAAAATATAACTATAATTTAATTTAAATATATTTTAAATATAAATTATTAAAATTAAATCTACCCACATTTATAGATTATTTATACTCAACATAAAGACTTTAAAATAGAGCAATTTATTTTTTTATATTTTTGTTTTATTATTAGTATTAATTTTTATTTTTAAATTTATTTTTCATTAAATTGAATCCTACTACTCCTATAAATCAAGTTCTATACAATGCATATCTTGCTCAATGAGTTTATGAGCAGATTAACAATATCTTGCAAGTTAAAAATGTAAAAACAATGAACTTGCGGCTCGTGAGTTTAACAAAGCTTTATCTAGTTCAAGTTTATGAATAAGTTAACATAATTTTATAAATTAAAAATATAAAAATAATAAATTAATAGAGCCAACTCGAGAGTTTGACAACAATAAATATTGCAAATTCTAGCCTTCATTTGTTTTTAAAATTATTAGAATACCCCTTCCATTAAAAAAATGTAAAATATTTTAACCAAAACACATCTCCTAATAAAATGGTTAGTTGTCTTTCAATTAATACCATCTTTTCATATTTATTCTTATTTAACAGAGTGTTTTATTTTTATATAAATAAAAAGTGACTTATTTATTAATGACACTTTTGCTAAAAAAATATTAATTAATTACACCCTATAACACAAAAATAACTTAAATTTTTTAATATCTAAACCATTAAAAATTGTCTTACATTTTTAATGAGTTGGAGTAATAATTACATTACAATATCTCTAAAACTAACCAAAACCACTTCCCCTCATCTCTTATTTCTTTCTCTTATTGACTCCTTTATTTCCACTTATTTGTAATCTTTTATTTTATTTTCTTTTCTTTTTTAATAATATATCTATAATTTTTTCTCACACAATCCCTCCCATTATCATAACTATCACATTAACATTAATTTTTTATAAATATTTTATTGCAATATCTCTAAAACTTATAGAAATTACTTTCCTTTATCCTTTATTTTTCTCTCACATTATATTAGCTATTTTATTTTATTTTATCTCTAATATTATTTGCCATGACCTCTCCCGTTACTATAACCTCCAATCATTTTATTTTAAACTTTAAATTTTTATTTTAAAATTCTTAAAAACCTTCATGTATTATTTTATTTATAATGTTCTCTCCCACTATCTCACATTGTCAATATACCTTTCTATCTTTTATTTTAAATTTTAAAAATATTAAAAGCCTTGACAAATTATAACTTCTCTACCCACACGTTAACAACAACTCGCATTGTTCACATGTATTTATTTATTCATTACCTCTTTGAATCTCATGCCTTTGGATTTCCCATCCTTCTTCTGAGCATTCAATATAACATCAACGTCAAGCATCTATCACTGTCAAGGTCTACTACTTGAAGTTACTGTCGCCTCATCCCCCTCCTCCCTTCTCATGCCACCAATTCATGTTCTTCATTTTCTAGATAAATAGTTCGATTCACTCATATGATTTTTTATATCTTTCTCACATAAAATGAAACACGGCTGTGTTGGGGCTATAGAGTATTGATTTTGTTCTCTAATTGGCATCTTTGAGATCATGCAATGCCTTATAAGGTTTCTATAAAATAAATGTATTATATATTTTTCTAACCATACATTGATATGATCCCAAGTTTTTATATTGTTGCATTTACATGCGTGAAACCTTAAAAAGGTTCAAATGTAAAGGAGGGGTAGGTTATAGTAGTTGGCACACAAAATTGCTATGCTCCATTATAATGGAAGTATTTCAGGCACAACCAATGACATCATGCTTCTAACTCAAGTTTAAGGAGTGACATCTTCTTAAAAGAGTTCACCTATTTTTTCAATAAGTTTATTGTTTGTGTTTAATCTTCACATACATGCTTCTTAATTTCCTCTTTCCATGGTTCATCCTTCATGTCTATTATCTTGTAATGTACTTGACATTGTTTTATATCATTCTTTCTAAAAGATGTCATGATTTCTAAAATTTTATTGCATATAATTGAATGTTACTAAAAGGTGTATTCAACATGTATGGTTTTCAAATTATGATGCACCAACTCTAGGTAATTCTTGTAATTCTTCCACGGAGCTTTAATCTAAAGTGTCTTGGTTTGTTTTCAAAGTTAGATAATATTTATGTAGTTTTACTTATAATTTCCCTGTGTTATGTTGCATAAAATGTAATGCTATATCAACATGATTTTGCCTACGCATGTGTTGATTGTTGGAAGTGTTGAAGTCGAGCTTGTTTTCAAAAGACAAAGTCAGGTGAAGGTTTATCGAAAAAGCTTTCATTGACGTTACAAGGGATTGATGAATCATTATCCACTATTTATTCCTCATACTCAAATATCATCTTTGTTTTAAAAAATTGTATCTAATCATATAGAATATTTATATAATTTATCACTTTATAAGCTTTGACATTGCAACATGCTACAGCATATTTTATTGTATTTTCTCAAATATTACAATATTAAGATTATAATTTTTATAGAATAAAATATTTTGACCTCCTATATATTTGATCTTAATTACAGTTATCTACTTTTTATTTTTGAAATATACATGAACCTCCTCTAATATGAATAGTTATAAAATACAAATGTTCTCTCAATTATTAATATTTTTTTACATCCACTTAATTGTTAGTTGATTGTTAAGTTATACACACTTGACCAAAATATCCCTCTTTAAATATATATTGTATAAAAATAATTCAAATTATCTAAAAAATGAATGCATATTTTTTTACATTTTCATTTACATTTTAAATTTTTATTATGCAAATGTATTTATTTAATAATTTTTTTAAAATTAAATACATAAATTGGCTAAAATAATAGTCAAACCAACAGTTCAAAAAATTTTTATCAAAAAAATTTAAAACATAAATATTGATAATATTAATTATTTAAATTTTATTTTTTAAATTACGAGAGAGGGTAAACAATTAGATCATAAAGACAAATTAATAGTTCTAAATTTTTTTACATAATTACAAATAAAAAATTAAGTATTTTAAGATTT